TTTAGACTTTGCGAAAAAAGTACCTAAGAAATCTCTAAACTATAAAAGAACGACATACCTTCTCGAACTGATTTTCTGGTTCGGTACTCATCGCACCTGTAAACAAACCCATCAATGCACCTAGTGTATCTTCGTGTATGCATGACACCTCCACATCGACAATTTTTCGACCTTCCTATTAGTCCGTTCTCCAAACAGTAATCAAAAACAAGATGTGGAGCAAATTTTCAACGCAGAACGTGTACAGTATCGATAAGTACGTCTGGATAATACAAAGTCACCTGATTGGTTGCTCAAGGTCATTTGTCCGTTCGCTAGGTAATTTCGATTTGGGCTGCTATAGTTTAGAGTTACCACTAGTAGTATTATTTGAAAGTTCACCGTGATAGTGAACACAGCTGAATACTTGGCTAATAGTATTTAGCGACTAAATCTCATAGCGGAACATTTGTAGCCCAAATAAGTCTATGTTAATCCCTTTGACTGTATCAACATGTGATGTGAGTTCAAATTCCAGAGAACGAGTTAGTCCAGGGATATTTCAGCCACGTCCTACTGAAGAATATCAGTAATTACGAAGCCTAGGTCTAGTTTTTCCTACCAATTTCTTCCAAGTACCTAATGTCAATATGCGTTATGTAAGTAAGCTGGGATACACAAAAAGAAACTGTTTTAAAAAATACGCAAAATGAAATCATAAAGAGGGATGAGGGAGGTTTAAACAAATGAAATAATGATAGGGAAATCAAACCACACGCATAATATTAATCCTGCAAAATGGGGATTATAGTTAATGAGGTTTAAACTTACACACACACACACACACAGAAGACTAGCTATGGAGGAAAAAGAATCATGAAAAACAACTATGTACAAATCAAACACCTCAAGTAAAAGTTGGCTAGTCAGGGCAAAAGTATCAATCAAGAGCCTTTATGTCCCAGTGTAATTAGGAATCCATCCAACGGTTATTGATTACCAACTTTTATTTTGGTTCGCGAGGATTTGATTGTATTCACCATGAAATATGATCTGACTTTAGATATTGAACCATTGAGAAACAGGAGAAAGTGCTGGGTAACTGTTTCGTCCATATTTCGAACTCTTCAGCAATTTCTTCAAGAAACCATTATACTTCAAAATTATTCTAGTGCATCCTAGAGACTGACTACATCATGAAATTGCCTGGAGTAATCTTGGGAGGTCGTGATCAAAGGAGTTAACCAAGTTGGATATGAGAACAGATAGTCGCCGATAACACTGGCTAGTGGTCGCGCTACATATATTACGAATTGGTAGACGTTAGAACTGATGAACTGGTCATTGGAATCCAACCCAATGGCTCACTTTGTAACATGAAAGTCACACGTGCGTACTGATGGTGAGTTCTAAACATGGAGCTTGAGCTGAATGTTCCTCTTACACCACTCCTCTTCCATTAGAAGTTTTTGTCAAGTTTCATTACGATTATCAAGCGTTTTTGTGTTGTCGAAGGGAAAACTTTCGATCGATTAATAGTCAAGGAATAGGCTTAAAGTGATACAATATGGAGTGGCCAGGTGATATACAATCAGTTGACTGCACTGAATGCTTGATTGTCGTTTTTATGACCGAAATTCAGTGGAAATCAGCAAACAAGTACAAGTCTTCTTGCAGTTTTTACCTACATGAAAAGTCAAGCAACAGGCTACTGAGCGCTCCACGCAAATGATCATTCAGGAGAAACACCATACTTCCATCATGACTATTCTACTAAAAGCGACAGTAATGACAACTGCTCGTGAGTCTTGATCCTTCTGATACGCATAAGAAGTGTTAATTCACCCTAATATTCAAGTTTGACCACTGCCTCAAGGTATTAGCTAACTGATGGATCATTCAGCAAGACTAATAGACGAATTACTGCCTTATAATTGTACATTACTCTTTGGGATTTCCTCAGTGAATAATTCCTCCTAAAATAAAGGTCGTCTTATTGACTCCGGTCGCCTCACCTACTATATGAACATCGATCTCTCTTAATATAAGGCATATGACCTTACTAATAGCCGAAAAATTCGCTTCTACTTTCAAGTTTAGTATGTATCTAATCTGAATAATTTAGAGAATACAACTTAGCAGTTAGTACAACAAAAATGGGAGTAATGTTTTACATGTTACAACATTACTGACATGCAGGGGGGTACTGGAAAGATGTATCGTCCTAGCTAAGGACTCTTAATCAGTACGGACCCATCGATTATGGATCAAATCCAGGACATACAGGTACAGGACGGAGTGTATACCATTCAACCACTGAGATGAAATCCAGTGACCTTGCAATTCTGAAATTTGTTATTTCTCGTTTTATAGCGTGACTATCCGCCAATGTCATCGGCAAGTACCTGTTCTTACCCCTGGTTTGGCGGACTCTTTTTCTGTCACAACTTTCTATAAGAAACTCCGGCAACTTTACCCTGTATTAAGTCTCGGGTGAGTACTAGACCAATTTTAATCGATAACTGGAAATTGTCCAGTACTCCCTGATTTTCAATAGTCCTCCAATTGATGTCAATTCTTGATCAAGCTTAGAATTCGTCAGATATCAACAAACTAGCCGTTGAATATTGTTGAAGTGTCGGTAAGATTCAATCCCCACAAACTGTCGATTGGAAGGTCATTAGAAAACGACTCTACCTGATAGCTTGATAGCAAACAGTTGTTCATATTGTCCACACCATGAGGGATAGATCTCAATTAAGAGATTATAATGGGTCAAATCTCTACCCAATGATTAAAGCCACACTCATGGACTATACTTCGCATCAGGTCATCAATATGAACCGTTAAAGAATCCTGAACTAGGACGAAATGACTGACGAAAATTTCTTGTTGTTTAAAAGTACTCTGGCCATTGTAGACTGAAGGTAAAATTTACCTCAACATCTAAAGTGCTGAACAATGTGGGGCTAATGTTTGTCATTTACATTCGGGTAATTAGACGCTTTGTAGGGTATTCAACTGACTAACAGGAAGATTGTAGAAGATCTGAACTTTGCGGATGAATTGTGTTTAATGTCACACACACACACACACAAATAGAAGTTTTGCAGGCAAAAATTAACAAGTCAGCAGAAGAAGTAGCGACACCAAATGTAACGACAGAAGACAAGGGCCAGGAAACAGATGGTCTGTTGACAAACTTTTTTTGGATTACAGCTTGATTCCACACCGTATTTTTGTTACAGGTATGGAATTTTTAGCATGTGATATCGATAGTCCAAATTTTGCAGGCCGACTACAGATATCAGGTGTACGTCGGCAGGGATATCTATAGATTTTTATGCACATTATTATTACCGTTATTATTAGCAGAGAAATAGCGTCTTCTGATTGGTTGCTTTCCTAACGCAGGTTTTTCTGTCATCTCTTTGTGGCCATTTCTTTGAACGTCAGACCTTATATCTGTTAATCGTATCCGCCCACGGAAAGTCTACCGTGAGATTGGTTGTTGAGTTAGTCTTTGTTCATGTCCTTTTCATCTCATGACCAAGATTTGGGACGTAAACATTGACATAAATTGGTGTCTACCAATTTCGGCTAGCAGACAGCTCTCACCACAATAAGACTTCAAGTGAACATGGAGAAGACAGTACTGATGAGAATATATAACCGACAGAAACGAACACCGGTTATTATCAACAGGAGAAATTTGAAGGTCACGTCTTTCAGTTATCTAGAAAGCATTGTTTCTACTAGAGGTGTGGTACAGATTAAAATATCTAAATCAGGACCAAAGGAGTAAGGCAGACCGTTGTTACTTTGAAATCAGCGTGGAAATCTACTGCACTCAGTATAAGGATCAAGGTGTTGGGCTAAAACACTCTGATATGAAGTTAATCAGTGCTTTTGTATGGTTCAGAGACTTGGTGCATTTCAAACAGGCTTCTGATTTTCATCAGCAGTTCCCTATTGCCGCATACTGAAGATCAATTGGCCCTCCAGAAAGGATTTTCAAAAAGGAACTCTAAAGACGAACCAACCAAGAATTCATTTAGTGGATGGTGACTAGCAGTGTAATTCAAGATAACGTGCATCTGGTCCTATTTGAGACTCGTCCTCCAGCTGGATGGACCTGCATCCCGCAGTCATTGAGTGATGATTTTCCCACCGAGGCTTGAACCCAGTGCTCATAGTTTCAAAACGCCAAAGCGTTATCCACTAGACCACTTAGGCCACGAGAGCCACCACCTCTTGTGCAATGGGTCATATTGATTATTGAATTGAATTTTAGATTTTCCCGTCGATTGATTGGACTGAGAAATGCAAGTACATCCAGATGACGACTAGTCCTAAATAGCACGAAATGCGCATCGTGACTGGATTCCACTGTCGCTAGTCACCATCCACTAATTGAATTCTAATTTAATGCCCAGACATCGTCGAAACATCTGCATAAGAAGCCGACAGATATGTCAACTTGAGACCGAGAACTTCAGGTCCAATCCATCGATGGGAAAATCTAAAATTAAATAAAAAAGAACCAACCAAGAATTTATCATCCAACGAAGATGCAGGAGGAAACGTAGATGGGTTGAACACTCTCTGAGGAAACCGTTGAGTGGCGAAACACCAATCAGGCCCTCGGACCGAACCCCGATGGGAAACGAAGAGTAGAGCATCCATGCATGACGTGGGGAAGATCTTATGATGGGGAATCAATTTAACAAGACTACAGAGAGAGTAGAATAAAATGGAAATGTGTTTTTGAAGCCTTAAGTTCCGCTTGGTACTCAAGGGAACAATTATAATAATAGGGTACATTTATTCCCTTTTATAAGTGACATCACCGCATGCTGATAGCTGTTTTCAAAAATGGGAAATCAATTATACCAATGTTAATGTCGGGTTTTAAAAAGGAAGTAACACTTAGTCGAAATAGGATAAAATGGAATTTACGAATTTATTGCTTAGTTAAATAAACAATTCTGTTTCAGAAATCTTCAAGTAATTTAGCTTACCTTGATATTGGAGCCATACCCAATAGTGTTAGTGTAATTCGCATAAGTATCCAAGCTTTTTTATTTTCTTCTTGTATTTTTGTACGTTTACGCTGACTTGATGCATTCCAACGTTGCCAATAGATTACTCCGTCTACAATGCCAGTTACTTTGTACAAATAACACAAAAAAATAAAGGTTGATCGAAGAATTAGAAAGATGTTGTGTACATTTCAGATAATATATACACATAGAACAAGATCTTCAGGTAAGCGAAAACATTTTACGCCAGTATCAAAGTCTAAACTTTCATTAAAACCTTCAGGAATTTATAAGACTAAAAAGAAGTGGAAAAGTGTTTCATCCTTGCCAAGAACTCTTCATCATTAGGTGAATAGTCGCTATCATACTCCTATTTGTGAACTCTCTTGATTAAAAAGTTCTCCATGTTGACTTGTGGAAACTATTCTGAAAACTGGTAAGTGATAAATACATCAGTACGCTTAACAGTTACTTTAAAGTTTCATTATATTTCGTTCCACTGCCTTCCGAGTGGAACATGAGGTTTATTGCTGAATTAGTCTTTCTTCATATTTTTCTCACGACCAATATTGTGGACGTGAACATTGACGTAAATTACTACCTACCAGTTTTCACTAGCAGCCAGCTCTCATCACACCAACACCAATTTGGATATTCCTGAGTGTTTATATAGTCTCTAAGGCAACTAATCTTAGCAAGGAATTTGATAATAATAATAACAGCTTTATTCCAAACGGTATTTGTGGTACAGGTATGGAATTTTCAGCGTGCATTACAGTATATTGCATCTAATTACCTCATAAATTATATAAGATTTTTAAAAATCAAAGATAAATAAATAAAATTAAAATAAATAAGTTATAAATAAATAAAATAAATAAATATTAAAAATTAAGAAAAAAAACAACGTAGAGTATTTCATTTCAAACAATGCAACACAGGATATGAAATATAAATTTGATGTGTGATAGAAGGTGAGAACAACAGTGTAATAGTAACGAGGAAAGGAAAACAAAAACTAATGAGACTATTTGTTAGAGTGCCGCAGTAAGTTTATCGTGTCATACTTAACGGATTTCTCATCACCACACAACAGCTGTGCCAGATATGGTATTGTGGAGTTTTTGTATTTGGTAGTCCTAGCATATAGCCTCCTATAGCTGCTTCTAGTTCTACCAGATGAAATGCAAGGAGATAGATGCGTATAGAGAGGATGCTTGGGGTCCGACAATATTGTATTCGCTAGTTTCTTACATGACATAATATGTCTATCTACAATAGTGTTCACCAGTTGGTTTAACGATATCCCACTCGCCCTACTAACGGCTTTAAATGCCTGCCCTTCCCAGCGAAGCAAAGTCTTTCTTAAGTAGTGTCCAGGAAAGACTAATGGGGAGCAGTAAAGGGGGATGGGTAGAATACAGGAATTTACAAACTGAGAAAGCAAAGACTGCTTTATGCCAGACTGCCTAAATTTCCTAATGTAGAACGTTAAGCGAAACATCTTTCTAGTAACTAGCAAGATGTGGGAAGACCAGGAAAGATCGGTGGAAAAACTCAGCTCAAGGTACTTGACATAAGATGTATTTTCAACCTCTGTGCCGTCAATGAGAGTGGGGCCATGTGAGCTAACTAGTTGCTGTAGGTCACATTTACGTCTGAAAGTGAAATTGACTACCTGACATTTAGACGGATTAAGCTTAAGTCCGTTTGAAGAGGACCACTGACTAATTTCCGACAGAAAGCTATTTAATTTGGAACAATCTGACTGAGGGTTGACTGGCATAGAAACCGAGAGGTCATTGGCATACTTAACAAAAGTGGCTACATCAGAATCAGGCAAGTCATGTAGGAAAAACGAGAACAGAAAGGGAGAAAGAACATCACCTTGAGGAACACCAGCTAAAGTAAGTGAGGTAGTGGAGGATTTTCCATTGTAGACGGTGTACTGCTTCCTTTCAGGAAAATAGGAATGCAACCACTTATTTGTCCAGCTTTCAGCCTGTGTTGCAGAAGCAAGCTTGATAGAATAGCGCAGAAAGCCACTGAGTTCTTTTACTGTCACAGAGTCCTTGCTAATATTTAATTCACAAAAGATGCCCGTACAGACATGGAGAAAGAGACAGTTCAGCTGAATTGTGTTTAGTTTAAACTCTAATTAGCATATAACTATTTACTGTCTAGTATTCAGATCAGTGTAATAATAATCTTTGAAATGTATTGATTTTTCCTTCATGAGGTACTCAACATTATATTTCACTGACCAATTATCGAGCGTGTGATTTTCTCTCTCTCTTAACTACCATTTAGTTATTGTAAGGTATTTTTTGTAATTAAATAATTAAACTAGAAGACCATTGGAAGTGTTGTTGAAAGGTAGTATAGAGACATGGTTGATGTGTCTTGTGAGCTTAGCTTTCATCCCGGGTTCGAAACCCGCCCCCCACCTACTACTACAGCTTTGTGCAGTTGAGTAGTACTGTAACAACAGAAGACAAGGGCCAGGCAAAAGATCGTTTATTTACGAAATCAACACATATTTATAGATTTTCATGTACATTACTATACATTATTTTAAGGAAACAAATACAGTCTTCTGATTGGTTGTTTCTCGCTGAAAGTTAATCTTTCATCTCCTCTTTGTGGTAGTTTACTGAGGTTCAGATTATCTGTCTGAAAATTGTATCCGCCTACGCAAAGTCTGCTGTGATTGGTGGTTGAGTAAGTCTTTGTTCATATTTTTCTCACGACCAATATTGAGGATGTAAACATTGACGTAAATGACTGTCCATCACTTTTGGCTAGCTAGCCAGCTTCCACCACAGTATTACCAATCTTTGCACAATCAGTGCGACTTATTGCCTGATACATGAGAAATCTGTTCCGGGCGACCGAGACTCTGTGAGGTGACAGACACTCATATTTCAATATATGTTTATATATATGTATGGATTATTATTCTACTCAGCACATAAATTGTGCAGTTTTCGGCAGACGATTTGGCATTTGATAAACAACTCTGGAAATGACTCATCTGTTTTGATGTAGTCTTCACAGTCCACCAGATGAGATGAAATGGCATTATTTTTTAAAATCAGATTGTAATTCACAGTGCGTCATCGTCATCATCAAACGGAGAATACAAGCAATGCCAGTCACATCTCTCTACCTCAACTTCATCGAATTTCAACACACCTTCGACAGTTTGAATAAAGCAAGAACAACAGTGGCGGTTTGTGCAGAAGAATGTGATACCATCATTGATTATTTCGCTGGCTTCTCATTAGCTCAACTGCTGGCTTACAGCCTAAATAAATTATTATTAAGTTTATGTACAGAAACAGTTTTAACATACTTGCGAATGTTTTTCTTCATGATGTCAGTTGACAGAAGGTTCCACAATTAGTAAACAGTGCTCGGAAAATTGGACTTATATACTTTTTACACAGGCAGTTCAAGTTTAAACAAAATGATAAATGTATGCATACAATGGTAAAGGAGTTACGTAATTGAAAGACAAGAGATGCGTAAGATGATGAGTGGCTAATAAATTAGGTAACGATGTACTAAGTTAAACTGACGTCACAGAAACAAGAGACAAGCAAAATTATGGATTATAAAAAAGGGGATGAGAGGTTAAAGACAAAGGTTACGTAGTCAGATGAGATAATAGAGATATCCAGTTACCAGGGCAAGGAAAGATTGCTATCTGCTTCTTCTTTCTGAACACATAAATCTAGTTTTAAGAGTCTGATAGAAATTGCTTTGGCCAACTTGAGCAGAATGGAGCTCCTTTGTCTATTGATAATTTTAAAGGATTTCTCGATTTCCACCTCATGACCCGTGTCGAGGGGATGCCTGGTTGTGGAACTGTTTAAAGCGTTTGTTCCCTTTAGACATAAGCTATTCGATACATATTCAGGGAAAATCGTAGATATGACCTTCTTTCTGTTCTTCCAATGTAACTGTTCCCATAGATACAACATGTAAATTTGTATATACAGTTGGAGTTGTTAACATGAGAAGGATCGATTTTTGATTGCACCAAAGAGCAAGTTGTTGGATAGACGGGAACGAGCTTAGCTACAGGATAGACTCTGACTAGTGATGTACTCAGTCTTTTGTTGATCATCGCTGCAATATTTTCACCTTTATAATCAAGCTGATCGTAGACTGGCTTTTTTTCCATTGTGATTTGTTTTACATTTGTGACTTCAGATCTTCCATACTTGTTGATGAACCGTTGAGGGTACCCACTGCTCTTCAATATATCTTCAAGGAACTCAAATTATTCCTCTAATTTCTCTATAGAACAATTAGAGAAATTTCTCTATGATTTGAGTTGAACTCAGTACATTGTTACCTAATTTATTAGCCACTCATCATCTTACGCATCTCTTGTCTTTCAATTACGTAACTCCTTTACCATTGTATGCACACATTTATCATTTTGTTTAAACGTGAACTGCCTGTGTAAAAAGTATATAAGTGCAATTTCCTGAGCACTGTTTACTAATTGTGGAACCTTCTGTCAACTGACAACATGTAAAATTTGCAAGTATGTTAAAACTTTCCTGTACGTAAACCTTATAAATTATTTATGCTGTAAGCAGCTGATGAGAAGGCAACGAAATAAATGATGGTACCATATTATTCTGCACAAACCACATTGTTGTTCTTGCTTTATTCAAATTCATCAAGGGGAATAAATGCACGAAGCCTTCGACAGTGTTGGCCGTGATATCGAATGCCCCAAATCCTTATAAATCTCATTCAACAGCTGGCTGCATGACAATGCTACATGTTAAGTAATCCAATAATGGAAAACTTAACAAAGCCTTTGAAGTGAAGACAGGTGTAAGACAAAGCTGTCGTCCACTGTTACCAATGATATTCCTAACTGTCATGGACCAGATTATGAAGAAGACTGTGTGGAGCGAGAAGACAGGAATATGTTAGGCCAATAAGAAGACTCTGGAAGATTTAAACTTTCCAGGAGATTTATGTTTAATGTGACACGAAGTCGATCTACAAGTGGAAACCGACAAGTTGGAAGAAGAAGCAGGTAGAGAACACAGGACTTCAAGTTAAAGTAGGGAAGACAGAGGTGATGGAGACACCTAACCAATATTAACAACAAACACCATCAACAGCAAAAATTTGGAGGAGCTCACTTCTTTCAATTATCCGGGTAGCATCACTTCAACTACAAGTGATGGCATGGATGGAGATATCAAAACGAGAACTGGAAAGGAAAGGCAAACCTTCATCACTATGAAAACAGTTCGGAAATCTTCTGCACTCAGCATAAGACACAAGATCCGGATTTTGAACACCAATGTGAAGTCAGCCAATTCTTCTTCATGGGTCAGAAACTTAGTATTTTGTGAAAAGCATTTCCACTTTTATGCAGCTCTTATCAACAGATACATTCGCTCTATACCGAATATCAGGTGTTTAGAAAGAATAAGCAACGAGGAACTCCGAGAATGAACCAGTCGAGAACCTATTGCTCAAGAAATATTCTGAAGAAAATGGAGATATATCAGGCACAAGCTGAGGAGACTATCCTGTAAAGTCGCACAGAAGGCCACCGAGCGGAAACCGGATAGGAGGTGGCAAGTCTGGCATCACTACAAAGGTGACATGGAGTTGACCGTGTGAAGAGAAGATGAGGGTCTACGGCAAAACGTGGAGCCGGCTAGAAAGGACGGTAGAAAAGAGGACAAACTGAAGATGACCTGCTGAAGCTCTGTGTTCTATACAGATCCCGAGTGAATAAAAATGATTAATTGATTTGTTTACTCCTTCTCCAATCCAACCGGGGACATGCTCAAGAGGGTGCAAAGATACATTCCTATGAGTACAACTTATATAACTAGCACAGCAGGATCAGTTATATTTGTATACACACATTGATGTGACCAAGGAATGCTAATTTATTTTTAGTGAACTATGTCAGTATCAGTCTAGCCGAGTAACTGATGTGTACTTCTGCAGCTTTGAAAATTCCTTTGATCGATCTAATCAACCTGCTACCATTTTTTCAACAAGATAAACATTTTTTACGAGTTTGACAACGGATTGATATCAATTAGCGTGAGAGTGGATTTCTCACCGATGTCATTGGTTGGTGGTGGCACTAAATCACGAATTGATAGAAGTTAGAATGCATGGGCAGGCCACTGAATCGGGACCCAGTGGCTGAATGGTATACGAAAAGTCGTAGCTTCGAACCCCCTGTGGGGTGGGTGGGCGTACTGCCGGTGATTCACAAACGAGAACGGATGAAGCTTCAATGTCGCATTTGGGTACCACATCCAAGAAGCAGAAAGACTGGATTTCAGAGCACACCATGCTTCTATCCTCGCAAGCCAGAGACGCTCGCCTAGCAAAGTCTCCAGTTTATCGCTCCCTCAGGCGCAAAGCTACACAGTCTGCTAGGAACGACAGAAATCGCTATTGGTCTAACGTGGCGACTAACATGGAAGCAGCATCAAATGTAGGCGATTTCGGAAAACTTTATCGCCTCATACGCCAATCATCTGGCAAACGCCTTAACAGTCATGCTGTGTTACGCACAGCATCAGGAGAAATTATTTCGGACACCAATGGTAAGATGGAACGATGGGCCGAACACTTCAAGCAGCTACTCAATCGCGACGCTGGTCAACCGTCTCATCGACCGATACGACACTTACCAACACCCTACGTAGTTGACTGCGATCCACCCACTCCAACCGAAATAGCTAAAACAATTAACAGACTCAGAAACAAAAAAGCTCCGGGCGAAGATGGTCTACCCCCAGAAATATACAAGGCCTGCACTCCAGCGCTAATCGATGCACTGCACTCGCTGTTCTGCTCAATTTGGGAGTCCGAAACCATTCCTTCCGATTGGAGCACCTCAGTTCTGCTACCGTTCCACAAAAAGGGAGACAGGTCAATATGCGAGAACTACCGAGGCATAAGTCTGATTGATATCGCTGCTAAGGTTTTTGTTTCCATTCTCCTGAACCGCTTCGCGGCCGAACGCCACGTGCGAACAAGGCCAAATCAAGCCGGATTTCGACCTGGAAGAGGCTGTGTTGATCAATTATTCACACTGCGAAGAATTTTGGAACACAGGGACAAATTCCAACAGCCGACGGTTGCTTGCTTCATCGACTTCCAAGCGGCATTCGACTCAGTTGATCGAGGAGCACTCTGGTATCTAATGGAGCTCGACGGAGTTCCGACCAAGCTAATCAACCTGCTCAGGTCATACTACTCCAACACCAAAGCTCGAGTCCGAGTGAACGGTGAAGAGTCCCGCACTTTTGAGGTAACCAGCGGTGTCCGGCAAGGTTGTCCAGCATCCCCCATCCTGTTCAATTTCACAATGATTGGATTTTGCGGCACGCCCTAACCGAGCACCACGGCGTCCAACTTTCGCCCGATATTCACATAACCGACCTCGAATTCGCCGACGACGTCGTGCTGTTAGCTGAAAACTTCCCCGATATGCAACAGGCGCTCGACCAGATAAACCACCTCGCGCCTACTATCGGTTTGAAAATTAACACTTCCAAAACCAAAATGTTTTCGAACACATCCACCAGCAATGATGAAATCTTATCCTAAATGGAGCACCTATTGAAATTGTGCCATCCTTCAGATATCTGGGATCCATAATGCTCCCCAACGGCCAAGCGAAAAACGAAGTGAATGCGCGAATCTCCAACGCCCGGAATGCGTTTCTACAGCTGAGGAGCGTTCTATGGAGCAAGAGAGAAATCAGTCTCAGGACTAAAATTCGGGTCTACCAAGCTTCCATACGACCCGTTCTCCTGTATGGCTGTGAAACCTGGCCTCTTCGCGCGGAAGATTTACGCAGACTCGAGGTATTAGACCATTGGTGTCTCAGGTACATTCTGCATGTTCGTTGGCAGGACAAACTCTCCAACGAAGAAGTGCGTCGTCGTTGCTACAACATCAACCAAATTCCAGTACTGGTCCAACAACGCCGCCTTCGGTGGTTTGGCCATGTTCTGCGCCGACCAGATGACGATCTGGTCAAATCAGTTCTAAATCCCTCGCCATTACCATCTTGGCGATGTCGCAGGGCGGACAGCTGAAGACATGGCTTGGTACAGTCAAGGCAGATATGGAGTGCCTGGGGCTACAAACCGTCTACGGACTCCGTATGTGGAACAAGAATTGGATATCCCTATCGCAAAACCTTGCTTCAGATCGCCGCGCCTGGGCAGCGATGATTCGAGACGTTCATGAAGCCGGCTCATCCTCCCGTAGGAGATAGCCGAAGTAAAGTAAAGTAAGTAAGATGAAACAACTGGTTGTCTAGTACTCCCTGACTGGTTTTACAATGGTTCTCTAACTGATATCAATCCGTGGTCAACTTGTAAAAACAAAACTAACCCTAACAAACCAACTTTTGAAGATAAAGATTGTTAAATATTGATGTCACATCTCAGGATAATACAGTGTTGTTCGTTATGTTCAGATGATTGAAGTTGTCAACAAAGGTAAACGTCTTCCTCGGTATATTTTACTGACTCCCGAAGCAGTAGTTCTAGTAAATTTACCAGCCATTTAGCAGTGCACTAAAGTCTGAAACTTCAGCACTAATCTTCTTCGACCTCACCAGTGATTCACGCAGGTTCACGTCTCACAGTCACCTCGAGCATATATATATATACATCACTGATGGGTACTAATCTATGGGAAGTCCAGTTTAAGTGGAACTTATCGCTGATACCTCACTGAATTGTTTCAGAATAATTTAGCCACTGGGATCCATTCAACAAATTACCAATCCATGAATTCTGACTTCTATCAATTCGTGATTTTAGCGTGACCACTAACCAACGTCATCGGCAGCGAGTATCTGTCCTCACTACCCACTGATTAGACCCCACTGATCACAATTTCTTACTAGAACTCCAAGTAACTTCGTTCTGCAGCCATTCACTAGCAAGAATCAGATTAATTTTCAAAAGTCAATTTGTAGACTTTTGATTTGCTCCGAGTTTCACCACAAGTTGATATCACCTAAAAGACCATTGAAAACCAGAGAGTGGACTGGTGGACTGCTGTTTCATCCTGACTTTAGACTCTTCAGCAATGCGCATCCATTTCCAGGGTTCGAAGCCAGGACCTTTCAGTTACAAGGCAAGATCGCATACCATCCAGTCACTGGGACCCAAATCACACCATGAATATTAACTTCTACCAATTCATGACATAGTGCGACCACTAGTCAGTACCATCGGTGACGATTGTTTGTCCTCATACCCGACCTGTTATATCCTACTAGTCTCAACAGATGTCCAGTACTCCCAGCTGGTTTTCCCATGGTTCTCTAACCGACGCCGTAACCAATCAAATCTCTACAAACCAACACTTCATTGAATTATTCGACGAAACAAATACAAGATTGGAAAATAAAACATAAAACACTTTGAACTCACTGATATACTGTCCACCTATCAGTACAGATATCGACACAGATAATTCAAGAATACTTTCATTTGTGAAATTGATTGCATGCAGCACAATCACAGCCCATGATGTTAACAGAAATCCAATAAATATAATCATCGAGATGACTTTACGCCATATTCCACGATGCGCTATTAGGTCGGAAGACACACTGGCTACTGAACTAATATTTGTAGTATGACCGAAAACACTTGGTGATTGGTAGGATGACATAACTTTTTGATTGGTTCAGTAATTTGGCTCTTCTATTTTGATGATTACTAAAGTTTCACATTTCAAGTATTCTCCGTTGTTACAATCTAAAAAAGAAAAGAAATATTATTTAGAGAACACATAACACACTACTACCTGCAAACCAACACGTTATCGAGTGTGGAGTTCCAAGGATTTGACTGGCTAAAGGTCACGAGTTGATATCTGTCAGAGAACCATTGGAAAACCAGGGAGTGACTAGACAGAGGTCGGATTTCATGGGCGATTGGAACGGGTCCCAGTGGCTGAATTGCCTGCGAGCGCATCTTGTCATGTAAGGTTCAAAAAATACTATGGGTGCACTATGCTGAAGAGTCTCAAACAGGGACGAAACAGCTGGCCAGTATTCCTTAACTGGTTTTCCAATGACTCTCTACTTGATGTTACCTCTTTATTAAAACTTGCAACTCGAAAGTTAATCCAGTGGTTGTTAGTGACTGAGTACCAGATGGCGTGCCTGAATTTTCAAAGAAAAGTCATGACCAGCGCCATACATTATGTCGGAGGTGTGTGAGGAGAAATACTCGCCGAAGATAATGACTGGCACTGCTGTTTTATACTCATGGATAATCCCCATCCAGGCATTAATGAAAACAAAACACATAGTTCAGCGAAGAACCTCCTGTCGGCGGTGAATTCATTTCCATTGCTGTACAATCGCAAATATATATGTGTGTTATTTTGTATGTAAGTGTACATTAAGTTTGTCAAACAAAATTACAATTGGTTATGGTTATTTTAACTAAACAGGTGAAGGTTGGTAATACAATTCAAGAAAATTAGGTGTTAATGAAACTAGGGTAGTAACAAAAGTGATGAGTTGTCACAAACAGTTGTTAAAAGAAGTTATGTAATAATAATATGAATAGTTAGAGGAGTGAGTTTTACTCAGGATGCACACAGGCACTAAGTAGAGAATACAAAATTACGTAAGAGTTCGAAATGAATACAAGAATTATAAGCAATTAAAGAACAGGTAAACAAACAAAATTAAGTCATCAAAATCAAAAAAGTTGTTGCCATGACAGTAGAAGTGGTTGAGTAATCCTCTTTTGTATGCACAGCTCTGGATTTTCTATTTGAATGGCCAGAGCTTCAGCGATACAACAAAGAAGACGAAACCATATTGCCTTTGATAAGTGGTTATTCTTGACTATGTCGATTACTTTGAAGCAGGAGGCGTTTGTTGTTGAGATGGAATGATCAGTGTTAACCAGATGTTCAATTATCGCGCTCCTTACTGCACTACGATTGCCTTTTCACAACCATACTGGATAGTGTTCTTGAATCGTCTTGGAAAGGGTGCGCGTAGAATGACCGATGTACCTGGTTAGCTCCATAGCAGCAGGTAAACTGATATATGCACATAGAAGTGGCCGGATGTGGGATCTTGTCCTTGAGGCTTCTGCGGATCAATGGGCGACTGGAGAACACTATTCTTAGCGTTGCTGCAAAGAATGTTCTCTTCTCAGAGATGATGTGATCTTTCTCTTGAGAATATCGCTTGCTGAATCTCCCTTGAAATCCAAGTTCATGTAGAGTTTCTTTTTAGACGCAATTAAAGCTTCGTTTCTCCGAATTATTGGTTTGGTATTTTTGTCAATGAATCTTATTGGGTATCCAATATGTAATTCTGTTTCCAGAACATCGGGACAACAGATGCGTAGGATGTCGGTGGCAAGTGATTTGATTAAATTCCGCTTTTGTTAGAAGCTTGTTAGTTGACCATTCCACGTTGGTTTTCTATGGATCGATCTTCTTAGGCTCCTATCAGTTCTACTTGTTAGTTCCACATCAAGAAACGGAAATTTTGACTCGTTTTTCATTTCAAGAATGAATTTTATTGCTGGATGAATTACTGTTTTATGTGGCGAAATAGTCGAAGTTAGAATTCATAAGGCGTTGGATTTCTTCTCAGTGACTGAAGTGATAACGAACGACCTTGTTATCGTAATATGAGGATCATGTATGCGTATAGTTGAAGAGATCCGAACTAGAATAAAATAACTGACCAGTACCCGCGATCTTCAATGGTTTTTCAACTAATATTAGTTGGTAATCAACCCCCCCCTATCTGTAAGGTTTAATATAGTGGCCAACTATCATGTTCTCATTAAGTTTCTATGTAGATTCCATCATTGAAAACTAGAGAGCACTGGACAGACGTTTCGCTCTAGTCTCGGATTCTTCATTACAGTACATAAAAAATGACTCCATCAGGGATTTGATCCAGGACCTCCAGATTATGAGAGCCTCCTCGTCGACCATTCAGCTATTTGGGCTAAAATTTACTCAACTGGTTATTCTAACTTTGTCACTTTATGATATATACCACTACCCTCAATCAATGTGTCTCCAATGAGTATAATTTTCAACTTGATATGGTGGGCCCCACTGGTCATAACTTTTCAGAACATCCAACCCGTAGCAATCAATGAGCTCCCGACCGATAGCTGCTACCTTGACGTGGTGGTCAGGCTTGCATATCGCGATGACCCAACAAGCTGCACTGGCTGCAACCAATGTTCCTGCAGTTCCTACCATGCCAGGAAGGTTGTTAGGATAGCGATTAGATTAAAGGCAGTTACCGGCTTAGTGTAAGAAGTGCTTTTTACAATATGCTGGGGGTCTGTGGGCGAAGTCGTTCTGCTGGGGAACAGGAATGTAACAGCAGTAGTAAGGTGTTTTCTTCAGATGACCAGCATGCTAGCCAGCTATGCTGTCTCTCCACTCTGGAGGGAGAGGGTTAGAAAAGGTCGACGCCAAAAATTGTACATCCCGACTTACTCCACCTACGGTGGTCCGTAACCGGCGGTAGGTTTACTAATACGAAACCAATCCCATAAACCAACTCATACAGTCTGTGTGTGACCGGCCTCAAGCAGTTGTACCCTAGGCTCTGCGGCCATGCAACACTCTTTCTGTTTCAGGTACCTGAAGAATCAAACAACTTCTACGGCGTGGGCAGCCGGGAAGTAACAACCACCCACACACTTCCAAAAGCACACAACAGACAGACAATCAATGAGCTGGGCGTTCACCACCGAAGAGTTCCCAACTTGGACGAAACACTTGTCTAGTACTCCTTAGTTTTCAATGACTTCAAATTCATACTGATTCCTTATGAAAATCTACACTGAAATGCCAATAAAACCCAATGATCTAAATATCCATTAAAGTCCTAAAGGAGGTCAACCGTGGAGTGAATGTCTCAGCGGTAACATCTCTAAGTACAAAACTGGAATGAGACAGCAGTTCCTTCAAGCTTGTGGATACACTTTACTGAAGAGTACAAATGATCATGAAGTCTAGGTCCAGGGATTTCTGTCTGTTACCTTTAACCATCCAAGATAATGCTTCTGTTCAGATTCTCACTCTTGATGTCATACATAAATATTATTTTACTGAATGGTATTTTCCAGAACCATATTCTAAATTTGCAATCTACATTTTTCAAGGTGAACCATAGTATTACCATAGTTTATTTCCACTGAAAACCAAAATTATTTCATGATTTGAACTTTCCCGTTGTTTGATTGGACCGAAGTGGTTGACCTCTGTTAGATATTTCAGCTCCTTGTGAGGATGCTTCAATGATGTCTGATGGTTTAACCTGAAATAATTTGATGAATGGTGACTAGCGTCAGTGGAATCCACGACAACGAGCATTTCTTCCCATGTGGGCCTCATCATTTGAATATAACTGTACTCGGCAGTGAGTCATTGATGGTGCTCCCACTGAGTCTCGAACCCAGTACCCATAGTTTTAAACACCAAAGGTGTATCCATAAAGGCTGGACACTTCGATCCAATCAGTCAAAAAGAAAAAAACAAATTGAATTAAGTAATAACTTGTACCTGTTGCATAAGAGGTGGCTGTCATGGCCCAAGTGATTTAGTTGATAACATCTGGTTCAAGCCTCAGTAGGAACACTATGACTCATTCACTAGGGGATACAAGTACATCTAGCCAATGGACGAATCCCAGATAGGATGAAATGCGTGTTGTTCTGGTTCCACTGCCAGTTACCATCCAACAAACAACAACAACAACATGTTATTTGTTTGTTACTATAAGTGGTAACAGCTGATGAGCTCGGTTGTCAGTGAGGTGTTTAGGTCACTTCCATCCGGCTAGCTGACAAGTAATACTAGCTGATATTAGTAGTGTACAACGCAATTCATCCCAATCATCTATCTGTAAATAGTTTTATGCATTTTACAGAATGTTGATTAAAAATGCCCATTAAAATTTCCCTCAAAAGAATGCTAACTGAACAAAGAATACTTTTTTCGATAACGCCTTCATCATCAGGTTCTACAGTTATATATACATAATAGTGAATGAATTAGTGTTATGAAAGACATTAATGTTGTTGTTTATATAACAACATAAAATAAGCTGAATGTCAGAAAAATTAGGAAAGATGATATTACATATTCATGAACTTATAGTCTCTACTGAAGGTCAGCCAGGGGAAGTAGTAGTAGCTGGACTTGCTTCTTTTGCATACAAAGCGCTGGTTGTTTCACATGAATTGCGATAGCTTCTGCTGTTTGGAGCATGCGGTACTTCGATGTTTTTGGCATTTTATTTGGTACCTGATAGATGATGATAGAGAAGGATTCTTCAATGCTGGTTATCCGTAAACAAGAAGCCTTTATACATATACGACTGTAATTCAAGGTCGATATGCCAAGCGAAATAATTACGAAGAAATTAAGAAAATCAGTTCAAAGAACTTTTAATGCTCTGGCGAACTACACGTCTTATTCTCTACACGACCGCTGGTGGTGCTACCTCTATTGAAACATGAAGTACCTAGACTAGCTAGCCGCTTCTAATGGTATCTACCAATTCAACTGTGCTTGTCGTGGATACAGTTATATCAGCCGTTGCTCTAGGAACTTGATTTTTTGTGCTCACTCGAGAACATCTCCCATTATGGCTAAGTGGAAGTGTAGTAAAAACCATCAACAGTTCGATATTAGACCATCTGGTCCAAACTGGCTACAAAGCTAGTTATCACAGAAGAATCCTTCTCTATAATCTACCGGGTACCAAATAAATTGCCAAAATCATCTAAGTACCGCATGCTCCAAACACCAGAGGCTATCACAATCCACCTGAAACAACCAGTGCTCTGTGTGCAAAAGAAGTAAGTCCAACTAACCCCTACTACTGCCCTGACTGACCTTAAGTAGAGACTATAAATTCATGAATTTGTATTATTATCTTTCCTAATTTCTCTGTTTAACATTCAGTTTATTTTTGTGTTGGTAAAATTGAACTGTAATCTATTGATATTACTGATTCGAAGTTATTTAAACAAAATTAATGCTGTTCATAACACTAATTCATTCATTCATTCACTAATATTATGTATATATAACTGCAGAACCTGATGATGAAGGCTTTATTGAAAAAAGTATTCTTCGTTGATTGAT